TGTTGTTAGCATTGTTAGCTGTCTTTATGTGACATTAGCTGTGTTGTTAGCATTGTTAGCTGTCTTTGTCGCTTTAGCTGTGTTTATAGCATTGTTAGCTGTCTTTATGTGCTATTAGCTGTGTTGCTAGCTGTCTTTCCATCACATTAGCTGTGTTGCTAGCTATCCTTATGTGATTTTATCTGATTTTCTGTTGTTAGCTACATAGCTGGCTGTCTTTATCTGACTTTAGCTGTCTAGCTAGCTGCCTTCATGTAACTTTAGCTGTCTAAATGGGATGCTATCTGCGCTTAATAGTCTTTATGTGACATTAGCCGTGTCGCTAGTCGTTCTTATGTGACATTAGCTGTCTTTTTAATCACATTAGCTTTGCTGTTAGCTATCCTTGTGTGATTTTAGCTGTCTTTCTGTCATTAGTTGTGTTGTTAGCTGTCTCTATGTGACCTCAGATGTGCAGTTAGCTGTTTTTCTACAACTTTAGCTTCCCTGTCAGCTGCCTTCACGTAGCTTAAGCTGTCCTAATGTGACGTTAGTTGTACCGTTTAGACTAGTTTTGACTTTAGCTGTGTAAATATTGTTTTTGTTGCCACCCCACTGTCTTACTATGAGTATAATTAAGCTGCCAGAAAGGAAACTTGAAGAAAATGTGACTGACAGCATTTTATTAATATTTAACATTAATATTTACTGCATTAATAAATGTGTGTGCTTACCTTCAGGTATGGTATACTCTCTGCTATCTTGTTCTCCGACTTAAGAATGAAGCCGTAATGAACTTTGGCAAAACCGTTGCTGGGGGCAACCGCCAGAACCTTGGAGGCGGGGCATAAAGGAGCCAATCAGTGAAAGTCTTTATGAGCAGAACACCAGTGAGCTACCAACAAACTGCTGTCACTCGAATCACATGACAGGAAGTGTGCACACCTCTTCGTACACCTTCCTAGCGCCCTTGTTGTCGCCCAGCAGCAGGTAGGCGACGCCCAGGTCGTTCTTCAGACTGATGTCTTCTGGAAAGATCTGAACCAACTTCTCGAGAGTCACCAGAGATCCTCGCATTCGACCTGAGACACAAAATCACACGTGACTGCACCGAGTCACAGACGCTACACAATACAGACGGCAGTTAGTTGTCTTTACGTCATATTAGCTGTGTCGTTAGCTGTCTATATGTCATATTAGCTGTGTAGTTAGCTGTCTATATGTCATATTAGCTGTGTAGTTAGCTGTCTTTATGTCATATTAGCTGTGTCGTTAGCTGTCTTTATGTCATACTAGCTGTTTAGTTAGCTGTCTTTCAATAGCTTTAGCTGTGTAGGTAGCTGTCTTTTTAATAGGTTAGCCGTGCAGGTAGCTGTCTTTCTATGATTGTAGCTATGTAGTTAGCATCTTTCGATAACTTTAGGCAAGTAGTCTTCTGTCTCTTTATGACTTTAGCTGTGCGGTTAGCTGCTCTTCTCTGACTTTAGCTGAGCAGCTAGCGCAGTCGTCGGTATCTGTTACCCAGGAACTGCTGTCTCTCAGCCCGTCTCTTCAGCGCGGCTCTCAGGAGGTCAGCGGTCACATCAGGAAGCTCGGCAGCTTCTCTGTAGCTGTTGATGGCTCTCTGCAGCATGTCGTTGCTTCGCATCTTCTCAGCCAGATCGTCTTCTGCCTGAAACACACGCGTGGTGAGTCCTGGTCCACGTCCTGCTGCTGCACCAGCTCACTGTAGCGCAGTA